AACTACTATGGGGCCTGTGGGTATGCGTATGTCTGGCAGGCGACGACGGAGAAGCGAGAGCAAAACAAGCGCGTCCTCTCGAAGAATCGCAGCTCCTGGCTCGGTGTGGGAAGATTTCTTCAGGGGTGTCGGCGTAGAGCCTGGCAGCAAGAAACATATGAAACATGAGGCGCCGAGCGCTTCGAGCGCTCGAAGTATGCCCTTGAGAGGATTGGCGGCTCGATTGCTGGAGGCTCAGACCAGCGAAGGAAGGACTGGAAGCTGTCAAGCTGTCGTAAACCACTCGTAGAGCCCTCGTAGAGTAGCTGACGATGTTCGAAGGCTCCTCCTCTCAGTCTCGTGACACAGGTCGGCTCAGCTCTGACCACGATCGGCTCGGCCGCCTTCCTGCTGCCTTGCACCATGCACGTCTTTTTTAAGCTGGGTGCCGTCGTCCGAAGCTCAGCTGAGACATCATGTCCTGCAGCGGGAACAGGAGGAAGTCGCCCGCTTGACCGTGCAGAGGTTTGTGGCGTGACTGCCTACGCCGTGGTCTTCGCCCTTGTGCCGTTGCCGGCCGTGTTGATGTGCTTCGGGCCCTGCGGTGACGAAACTCAGAGAGCAAAGGCGATGCGTCGCAGCGATGCACAGATCGCGCAGCGCTTTGTTTCACCGAGGCCACGACTTCAGATCCATCCTCGAGCTCATAGGGCGCGAATCTGAATGTGTGCGTCGTCGCTTCAGAATGCCAGGATATACTCTTGTCTGCCCGGAGGCGCGCTGCCCAAAACCTCATGCCCGAGGACGAGGAGGAGGAGGACGACGAGGAGACCCCTGCAGCTTTGCATAGCTTTGCAGTATTTTCGGAAGCGCTTGAAGACAAGACCAACCGGGGAACACAAAAGCAGATCTCACGAGCAGTGACACGAGCAGTGTTTTGCTCATTTCAGCGACATTTCAGCGTACTTCAGCGGCATCTTGCTGCNNCCCCCCCCCCTCTCCACGTGCTACGAGGACCACATCCTGTCCGTGGCCCCGACAGATGAGCTTCGAGAGCACCGGCGCTATGTGCTCAACATGCCCAGCAAGGCTGGGACTGGGAGAGGGCGAGAGAATGCGAGAGACTCTGAGCTCATCTGGGCCTCGTGGGATATGCTCCAGGGCATGGGCCAAGTCGGGGACACCTCGCATGTCCAGCCCACTCGCACAAGTGGATCCCTCAGCCTGACGCGCGTGTGACAACGGGTTCCAGTGGCTCATTGCCGAGGAATCGCCATCCATGGCTGAGCTGAGCGGCTTCGCCTCCGGAATGAGTTTTGTAGCTGATGCTCGTAGCTCGCCTTGGGCCCACACGCATTTACGAGGTACAGTAGCTAGATGTAAAGATGGCAGGGTGGTGGCCATCCAGGGCAGCACAGACTCGCTTGTGACTCTTCCCGCGGCTTGCGCTGAGTCTGAGTCTGGTCCGCCCTCGAGCGCCACCGCCTCTCATGACATGTTGTATACGTAAGATGTTGTAAGGCAGAAGCGGGCCTTGACCGGGAGTCAGAGAGTCTGACAAAGTCAGCCTTTTCCGGTTAACGTTCCCTTGGAGACTCCACTCTCCGCAGAGCTGCCCAGAGGGCCAATCGCTCTGACTCGCGACTCGCGGCGACGACAAAGGGTCCACGGTTTTTGAGCGGCGGTGCGAGGACGCAGGATCCCCCGTGGAAACGGGGGTCACCTGGGGCGCTTAAAATGCGTCCGTCTCACGCGCGAGGCGCTGCCTTCGCCTGCCTTGCACACCTCCGAGGACGCGGAGGACATGGCCCGGCGCCGGCGAAGATCTCTCCTGACATGTGGGTACACTTGCTACTGGTAGCAAAGCAAGGGGGGCTTGGGAACCTGTCTGAGTCTGAAGCCACGGTCAGGAGCTCGAGGAGTTCGCCTTGAGCGATGTGGACGTCTCGGAGAGCCAGCGGCAAAACCAGCGTCTCACGGGAGGCGCCTTGAAAGCGACAAAAGCTGTGATGTCCACTGCCTCCCTTACGACTATATAGGACAGTCCTATGAGAACTATGACAGACCCGCAGGCTTCGACGGGGATCAAGGGCACGAGGAGGCCAGAAAAGAGGGCAGAAGTCGTGTTGAATGCATTGCAAAAGCACCAGCAACTACACAAGGCCTCACCATGTCCGGCGATGTGACGTCTACTCAGGACGTCCCCCGCCTCAAGTGTGCTTGTGGTGCTGGATACAGTACCAGTGGAGTCTAAGCTAAGACAAGATCGCTTGCAATACTTCGTATTGAGGTGATGGTACAGTTCGGTACATCCTGCATAAGTTTTTGAAGATTCCACCAGGTCGCCGAACCTGGTTGAGGCGGAGGCGGAGCCCATGACGCCTCTCCTTGCAGGGTCCAGGCCAAGTTTGTCATGTCTGCAAGCGCTGCGCGGCAAAGGTGTTGTCAAACTAAACTGGGGCGTCCGTTCCAGGACAAACGAACGTGCAGAGCTTCTGTGAGAGGGCGCAGCTCGTCTTCCCTTCCCGGTCAGCAATAGCAGGATGCTTACTGCAACGCCACAGCAGTGCATATAGGTCAGCACAGTTCGTCCGGTGAGGCGCAGCGATCTTGGGATGACCGTGCGGCAGCCTTGGCTGAAGCGGCAGCCAAGCGTTGAGGATTGAAGACACTTCCTCCGCGTGCACACACCTGTGCAGAGGCTCGATCGCTTGCGGGCGTAGCCTAGTTTGATGAGACGACCACAGACGGACCGCCTTATTGAGGCGACGGGTTCAAAGTGTGGGTTTTGGTCCGGGTGTCATGGGTGTCTAGGGTTCGGGCCTTAGGGTTCCGGTTGTGGGTTTCTGGGTTTATGCTTCAAGGTT